GGAACTAGATAGTGTCTGGGTACAACTGCTGTGAAAGGGATCAACATTATAAGGTTGTGGATAGAGTAGCAAAAAAAATGTGCAACAAAACTCAAAATTGTGAAAAAGAACTGGATTATAGGTCAGATAGAGGCTGATGGAACTCTGACCCTTTGTCCCCTTCAGACTTGTACCTGAACCCACCTCTATGACTCAAATTTCAGGAAAACAGTAGTTAGCTCTGTAAAGGAAACAATAACACTGGGGAAGAACACATATTAGAATAATCAATCATTTGAGATGGAAAAGGCAGTGTTTATGCCAGGATAATATTTTAAAAGTTTAGGAAAGAAGAAGAATGGCAACAGGAAACATGGAGACAATTGGGAAAGTAATGTTACAAGGTGGGGATTACAATCAAGGAAGCAAATTGTGTGTAAATTGTTGAATGGAAAACGGATTTGCTCTGTAAACCTTCCCCCCATAGACAATGTTAGGTGCTGTCCAGTCCATTCTGACTCATAGCGACCTTACACACAACAGAATGAAACACTGCCCAGTTCGCCACCGTCCTTACAAGAGCTCTTACGTTTGGCCCGTTGTAGACACTGTGTCAACTCATATTTCGAGGCCGTTCTTCTCTTTTGCTGCCCTTCTACTTTATCAAGCATGATGGCCTTCTCTGGGGACTGGTCTCACCTGGTAACAAGTCTAAAGTACATGAGGTGAGATATCCCAATCCTTGCTTCCCAGGAGTATCTGGTTGTCCTGCTTCCAATAGATATTTGCTATTTTGTCAGTCCATGGTACCCTCACAATTCTTTGTCAGCACCACAGTTCAAATGCACAGATTCCTCTTTGGTCTGGTCTTCTTTATTCAGTGTCCAACTTCTACAAGCATATGAAATGATTGGGAATATGATGGTTTTGGTCAGATGAACCTTAGTTCTCAAGTTAACATTCTTGCTTTTCAACACTTAAAAAAAAATGCACCTTTTGATCTCTTGACTGCTGCTTCCATGAGCATTCATTGAGCATCCAGGCAAGATGCAATCCTTGACAGTTTCACCCTTTTCTCCATTTATACCGGGGGTTACCTATTGGTCTGGTTGTGAGGATCCTGGTTTTCTTCCCATTGAGTTGTAATTCATACTAAACGCTGCAATCCTTGATCTTCATCAGCAAATGCTTCAAGTCCTCCTCACTTTCAGAAGCAAGGTTATGTCATTTGAATATCCCAGATTGTTAATAAGCCTTTCTCCAATCCTGATGCCATATACTTCTTTATAAAATCCAGCTTCTCTGATGATTTGCTTAGCATACAGATTGAATAAGTATGGTGACACTGATGCACACCTTTCCTGGTTTCAACCCATGCAATATTGCCGTATTCTGTTTCCAAAGCTGCCTCTTCTTCCACGTACAGGTTCCACATGAGCACAATGAAGGGCTTAGGAATTCCCATTCTTCTCAAGGTTATTCCAGTGAAATGCCTTGACATAGCCAATGAAGAGATCTTCCTAGTACTCTTTGTTTTCAGCTAAGATCAATCTGACATCAGATATGATATCCCTTGTTCCACATCTTCTTCTGAATCTGACCTGAACCGTTGGAAGCTCCTGTCAATATACTGTCACAATCATTGTTGGATGATCATCAGCAAAATTTTACTTGCATATGATGTCAGTGATAATTGTTACATAATTCAAGCCTTCTGATGGGTTATCTTCCTTTGTTGTTGTTGTTGTTGTTGTTATGTACCATTGAATTGGTTCTGACCCAAATGACTTTAAACACAACAGAAAATACTAGCTGGTCCTGTACCATCCTCACAATTGTTTCCATGTCTGAGCCCACTGTTGCAGCCATGATATCAATCCATCTCATTGAGGGCTTTCCTCTCCTTCTCTGTCCCTACATTGCCCAGTATGATGTCCTCCTCCAGGAACAACCCTATCCTTATCACATGTCTGAAGTATGTAAGATGAAGCATCGCCATCCTTGCCTCTGAGAACCTCTCTTCTTCCAAAACAGGTCAGTTTGTCCTTGTAGCCGTCCGTGGCACTTTCAGTTTTCTCCTCCAGCACTGCAATTTAAATCCATTCATTCTTTGATTTCTATTCAATGTCCAACTTCCACATGTATACGAGGCAATGGAAAATACCATGGCTTGGGTCAGGTGCCCCTTAGTTCCTAAAGTAACATCCTTGCTCTTTAATACTCAAAAGAGGTCTTATGCAACAAGTTTACCTAATGCAACACATCTTTTTATCTTACACACATCTTGACTTATGCTTTCATGAGTATTAATTGTGAATCCAAGCAATACAAAATCCTTTACAACTTCAACTTATTCTCCATTTATCATGATGCTACCTATTGGTCCAGTTGTGAAGATTTTTGGCTTCTTTACACTGAGTCATAATCCATATTTCAGGCTGCAATCTTTGTTCTTCATCAGCAAATGCTTCAAGTCCTCACTTTCAACAATCAAGATTGTGTCATTTTCAATTGAAAGTCATTAGTATGCCTTCCTCCAATCCTGATGCCACATTTTCTTCATGAGATCCAGTTTCTTTGATGATGTGTTTAGCAAACAGATTGAATACGTATGGTGAGAGGATACAATCCTGATGCACACCTTTTCTGATTTTAAGCTGTATAGTATTTCCTTGTTCTGTTCTCATGGCTGCCTCTTGGCCAATGTGCACGTTCCAACTAAGCACAATGGAGTGTTCTGGAATTCCTATTCTCAAGGTTATCTACAGTTTATTATGATCCACACAACCCTATGCCTTGCCTTAGTCAATGAAACACAAGTAAACACCTTTTTGGTATTCTTTGCTCTGAGCCAAAATTCATCTGACATCTGCAACAATATCCCTTGTTCCATGTCCTCTTTTGAATCCTCCCTGGACCTCTGACTACTCCCTGTTAATGTACTGCTACACTGTTGTTGGGTGATCTCAAGCAAAATTTCACTGGCATGCGATATCAGTGATACAGGTGAGCAGTTTGAGCATTCTGTTGGGTCCACCGTTCTTTGGAATGGGTAAAAATATGAATCTCTTCCAGTCTGTTGGCCAAGTAGCGGTCTTCCAAATTTCCTGGCATAGCTGAGTGAGTGCTTTCAGTGCTTCATCAGCTTGATAACAGATTTCAATTACTATTCCATCAATTCCTGGAGACTTGGTTTTGGCCAATGCCTTCAGTACAGTTTGAATTTCCTTCAGCACCATTGGGAGCATCAAACAAAGATGGAAAGTATACACAGAGTCACTCTACAAAAAAGAGTCCACATTCCACTATTACAGGAGGTAGCATATGAGCAAATACCAATGGTGCTGAAGGAAATTCAAGCCCAATATTACCAAAGACAAGCACTTCATTATTCTGGAATGGTCATTCTTACACCTGGGGTCTAATGCACGCACCACCATCCCTCTGTCCTCAAAGCCAGCTTCCGTCCTCATTGTAATATTGGGCTGGAGAGTTGTAACTCTTCTTGGGCACCTGCCAGAGACTTGGCTTATATATTTTCCTGGCGAAATACCATTGGCATGTGTGCCCCAAGTGATGCTAGTTTTTCTTTTGTTTACTTCCCATATCTAAGGATTTTCCTTCACACTGCGGGATGCCTAGAGCATGCTGTTGACTTTCGTAACAGCCATCTTTTGAGCATTTGCTACATGTTAGACCCTTTGGTGCTCTTATTAGCTGCCATTGAGTCAATTCAGCTCATAACCAGCTTGTGCACAATAGAATGCAGTGTTGCCCAGTCCCACACCAGCTTGACAAAGTGAGTCCATCATTAAGGCTGTTATGACACTCCATCTCATCATATCTCTCCTTCGCTTCTATCACCAAGGCTATATTTCTCAGCTACCATTCCTTCCAGTGTTTCCAACTTTCTCATTGCAATTGCCAATAATTATCAATGCCTCGGATTGCATGCTTGACCAATTTCAGACTGAAGAAGTTGGTAGAATTCTTCCTTCTTTATCACTAGTTTTAGGAGTAGATGAGTAAATTTCACTAATAGTTGCATTCACTGGGCTTCCTGGTAGGGGTATAGATATTATCCTGTCATATATAGTATTGTACTTTAAGATAGATCCTGAAATGTTCATTTTGATGCTGAATGTGACAACATTCTTCTTGAATTTGTCAATCTGGCATAGTAGACCATATGATTGTCTGCTTCAAAATGTCCAATTCCAGTCCATTTCAGCTCATGAATACCTAAGGTGCAAATATATTAACAATTGTGAGGACGGCACAAGATTTGGCAGTGCTTCATTCTGTTGTACATAGGGTTGCCATGAGTCGGAACTGACTCCACAGTACCCAACAAGAGCAACAGTGCCTATGATGTTGATCTTCATGTGTTTCAGTTCATTTTTGATGACTTCCAATTGCCTAGATTCGTATTTTGTACATTCCACATTCTGAGTATTAATGGATGTTTGCAGCTCATTTTCCTCGCTTTATGTCATGAACCATCAGCAAATGAAGGTCTCAAAGCTAGGCTTCATCCACATCTTTAAGGTCAACTCTATTTTGAAGAAACAGCTCTTCCGCAGTTGTATTTTGAGAGCTCCTCTTCAGGCACAATATCTGATGATGTTCAGCTACTATTCCGAAAGGTTTCAGTGGCTAATCCCTCAGGAGTGGAAATCCTAATTTTTCTTGTAGTCTGTTCTGAGTCTGGAAGCTCTGCTAGAAACTGTTCACCATGGGTGATCTGGCTAGTATTTGAAATATTAGTGGCATAACGTCTAGCATTACAGCAATGTGTAAGCCACTACAGTATGAGAAATGGACAGAAGAGTGATGGCATTAATTCTAGTATTGTCCAGATTCCAAAATGTAGTTACTTAGCTATGTACCTGTGACTTAAAACTGGGGCAATGGATGCTAAGGAAATAATACTTTGTATGAGCGAAACATGCAGATGTTAGTAAATGTAGCAGCACCGTTACTTGCTGTATGTCTTCTTAAATGGGTCCTTTTTCTTGTAGGCATTTTTCAAAGCTGCAGATGTCAACAAAGATTCACAATTGGACTTTGAAGAATTTGTGCATTACCTTCAAGAACATGAGAAAAACATGAAGCTGGCATTTAAAAGTCTGGACAAAAATAATGATGGTATGTTATTATTATTATTATTATTATTATTTTTATCCACAATAAGCAAGAATAGCCTGTAAGTTATTCCTACTGTCAAAAGTTTCATCTATTTCTAATACTTGTCTAGCAGTAATTAAAGAAATTGTAACAATAACACAAATACTGTATTTATTAGTATTGTAATTTCTATGCAGGTACTATATTCTTTTATCTTCAAAACCATTTTCTTGGGAATTAATACAAGTATCATTTAATTCCATAGTTCAATCACATCGAGCAGTATTGTACAATTGCTGCCACAGTCAGTTTCAAAGAATTCTTTTCCTGCCTGGGCTCCTTGGCATCAGCTCCTTTTTACCACTCCCTCACCACCACCCTCACCATTGTTCACTGTTCCCCACAGAAGCCCTGATTCTACTTGCTCTCCCTACGGGTTCATCAATCCTGGCTTTCACATACTGAAAAACAGAAGAAATATATTTTAAAATTGCAAGAGAGTGACCCCCAATGCCATAACACATCCGAGACAAACCCCAGACTGAACAAACAAAAATAAATCACAGAAAATGTTGAAAACCATATCAGGCTGAACATGCATCAGAGGGGTGGCAACTGGCCAGGTTGTGACCGCTCGAGTCAGGCTTATCATTTTCATCTTCTGTGATCATCTCTCCAATGCACTCTGTTTGGTAAGCCCTCGGTGCTATCTTCTTAGCAGAATCATTTTTGGCCCAAATCTCTGTCCTGCAGAGTTAAAGCTTCTTGACCTAGTGATTTGGTCTTTTTTCTGCAATGTGTGAACTGAAAGTGTCGCGGGAATTTTAAAAGTGGCATGTATTATTTTCTCACCAAATTTAAAAATATTTTAGTGGCAGGAAAATTAGACAGCACAGAAAAGTTCCTGAAAGAAAGTAAAATTTACTCTTGAACCTGAAATCTAGAGATAAATGTAAATAATTTTAGTATATTTCTATATTTCCTTTTAGGATTTCCTTTCCGTCTTGGTTTTTCTGTCAGTTTCCTGCTTTCTCTTTAAATGGAATACCAACCACAGTGTATGCATGGTTCGGTGTCCTACTTTGTCCTGTTAAGGTTATACTGTAGTTATTTTCATTTCACTTAATATTCTTCACAAAGGCAACTTTTGCTGGCTGAAACAATTTCATTTGTAGTTATGAATCATCTAGTCATTTCCACCTTGTTAGGATATTTCCAGTCTTTTAGAATAGCAGAGGAGAGAATACTCTGTTTTACTGTTACAAGCACTTAAGTTGTAGAGACTTGACCTAAACTTAGATACCACCTCTGCATCCCTGTGTGGCTAATTAGAACTGACTTGCACTACGTTTTATAAATGTATATGCTAATTTTTAAGTTGTGTGAAGTTCAGGTTTTGTTAATTGAAAAATTCTAGGTGCACGAGAAGAGCTACTTAAAGGATTCTGCTGATGGAGTTTTAGGTCAAACAAAGTATAACCTGAATGTCATAAGCTTAACAACCTCTGAGTATAAAAGTGGTACATTTTCCCTTAACCTAAATCATGGTGCTCCTGAGTTTTTGTTCACTTTCCAGCTCAGGCCCTGAAAACAAATAAAGTCAGAGGGGATGGGGCAGAAACTCGGAATGGTATTTCTGCAGGGCTTTTGGGACTGAGCAGTGATGTTCTACTTTGATTAGTCAAGGGAGAAAGTAAAAGAACTATATTGCTGATCACTATATAACTTTGAGATTAGGGTAACCTTGCCGACAGTCTTGTTTGTTTCAGAAAGCATATTCTCTGTTAACAAGACCTATAAACAGTGATTAGCAGTTTTATCAGAGACAATAGGTGTATTAAATTTTTATTAATGGTATTCTGATTTAATTGATTATCTGACACAATGGAATTACAAATGATGCTTGTGGCAGTTACATAATCCTTTGTCAATTTGAGGATTAAGAATGAAGGGGTGTACAGAAGGGTCACAAGGAAGAGAGGAGCCAGTCAGGGTGCAGTATAGCACTGATGAAACATACAACTTTCCTCTGGTTCTTTAATGCTTCCACACTCCCCCACCCCCCCCATCATGATCCCAATTCTTCCTTACAAATCTGGCTAGACCAGAGCATGTACAGGGGTAAAGATGAGAGCTGGAAACACAGGGAATCCAGGACAAATAAACCCCTCAGGACCAATAATGAGAGTAGTGATACCAGGAGGGGAAGGGGAAGGTGAGGAGAAAGGGGGAACATAGATCACAATGATCTATACATAACCCCCTCCCTGGGGGATGGACAACAGAAAAGTGGGTGAAGGGAGACATCAGTCAGTGTAAGGCATGAAATAAGAAGAATAATTTATAAATTATCAAGGGTTTGTGAGGGAGGGGAAAATGAGCTGATATCAAAGGCTCAAGTAGAAAGAAAATGTTTTGAGAATGATGATGGCAACAAATGTACAAATGTGCTTCACACAATGTATGTATGTATGTAATGTGATAAGAGCTGTATTAGCCCCAAATAAAATGATTTAAAAAAAAAAGAGATTGAGGGGGTGGAGTTTAGCCTGTCAAACAGGTGGCAGCTTGATGACCTCATTTGGAGTCTAGTGTCCTGAGCTGGAGGAGCCATGTGGAGATCCCTGCCAGAACTGAGATGTTTAAAATGCCACTGGATCCAAAGACTTCCCACCCACTGACCCGTGATCTTCCTGCATTTGGCATCGTTGCATGTGCTTCGTGAGTCTGAAGAGGACTCTGTAGATTGGTATCAGATATAAGGGCTAATATCGGGCTTATGGACTTGATCTGCGCTGGGCTGGGATGTTTTCTCAATATTCAATTGCTTTTGTATATAAAGTTCTTTCCTGTACACATATGAGTGTCTCCCTGGATTTGTTTCTCTAGTTTACCTGGACTAACACAATGCTCACGAAGGTAACAGTGGAGGTTGTTACAGTTGTTGTTAGATGCTTTGAGATGGTTCTAGGGACCCTTTGTCTAACGGAGCAAAACATTGCTCAGTCTTGTACTATCTTCACAAACACTGCTATGTTTGAGCCATTGTTCAATCACTGTGTCAATCTTCTGAATATGGCCTGAACTCTGGCTGTTCTCTGACAGTGTACTGTTGCAACTGTAGCTGTCTTTCAAATTTCTTGGCATAGACTAGTGAGTGCTTTATCAGCTTGTTGAAACATTTCAGTGAGTATTCTGTCAATTTCTGGAGCCTTGTTGTTGGATAATGCCTTCAGTGCATCTTCCACTTTTTCCTTCAGTACTATTGGTTCTTGATCATTTGCTACCTCTTAGAAATGGTTGAATGTAGACTAGTTCTTTCTGGTACTGTGATTCTGTGTATTCTTTTCATCATCTTTTGATACTTCCTGCATCATTTAATATTTTGCTAAGATAATCTTTCAATATTGCAACCTGAGGCTTGACTTTTTTTCTTGAGTACTTGCAGTTTAAGTATGTTGAGCATGTTCTTCCATTTTGGTTTTCAAACTGTATTTCATTTCATTAAAATACTTTGTCTTCTCAAGCTTCCCTTTGAAAATTCATTTAGGCTTTTTGACCTCATTGTTTTTGCCATTTGCTTGGCTACTCTAAGACTAAGAACAAGTTTCAGAGTACTTAAGGTTGTAAATTTGGCTCTTGTGGATTTGTTTTAATGTTCTTCAGCTTCAACCTGAACTTAAATATAAGCCATTGATGATCTGCTCCATGGTTGGCTCCTGGCATCTGTTCTCACAGATGTAGTAAATTTGATTTCTGTGTATTCTATCTGGAGAAGTCCATGTGTAGAGTTGCCTGTTGATTCATCAAACAAAGGTATTTGCGATAAAGTCGTTGGTCTTGCAAAATTCTATTATTTGATCTCTAGGTCCATATTTCCAACTACTGTTCCCTTCTCTTAGTTTCCAACTTTTGCATTTCAATCACTAATAATTATCAATGTCTCATGAGTGTATGCTTGATCAACTTCAGACTGAAAGCATTAGTAAAATTCTTCAATTTCTTTATCACTCATTTTAGTGGTTGGTGCATAAATTTGAATAATTGTTATATTGACTGAATTTCTTTGTATGTAGATAGATTTTATGCTATCACAAATAGCACTGTAGTTTATGATAGATGTTGAAATGTCCTTTTTAATGATTAATGTGACACTGTTCCTCTTGAATTTGACATTCCCAGAATGGTAAACCATATGTTTCACCTAGGATATATTAAAGTTGAACTTTTTGTATGCATTAATATTGCTCTCATATTTCAAATGATTGGATATCCTCAACTATTTGAGAGGAATGAACAATTCTTGGATTTAAGAAATCTATGATTAGATCTGTGTGTTAGAGCTTGAGAAATATGCAGTACTTAACTAGATAGCAGTGACTTTGGGTTTTTAAAAAAAAATTTTCCGTGAATGTGTGAGTGAAAGTGTAATAGGTGCAAATAAAGTAATGTAAGAGATTTGAGATATTTGACATGGCGTATGGGGGGTCTATGCAAAGGGTTAATGCTGTATTTTAAGTATGTTAGTTTTTAAAATGCTGTATTTTAATTATGTTAGTTTTTAAAATATCATATATTGATTGGCCGGTATTTTCATACTACTAAATCAGATCTTCAGGAGCCCTGGTGGCTGTAGTGGTTATACACTGGCCTGTGACCCTCAAGGTCAGCAGTTTGAAGCCACCAGCTGCTTTGCAGGAGAAAGAGGAGGTTTTCTACTCCCATAAAGAAGTACAGCCTTGACAATGCTCGCCCCCACCCCAGTTCTACCCTGTCCTACAGGATAGTCATGAGCTGTAATTGGCTTGATGAAAGTGAGTGTGGTTTGGTTTAAATCAAATATCCAAAATCAATTTTAAAAATTGCAAGTTGGTACAATAATCAAGCGTCTTCAACAGAGTTACAATCCCTTATTTGAAGTTCTAGGTGCCATTCATGCTCTCAAATTTAGAATTTGGACTTTAAAGATGTAATACAGTGCATACATGCTATGTGCAGTCTGGGACATCATTGTTTAATTATGCACACAACTATTTTTACAGTGAAAACATAGGAATATTCACAGGAAATTAGACAATTACCTTACTAAAATTAACCTCATCAATTTAAGACAAGTTTTTCCTTCAATTGAATTTTAATGCCAAATTTATAAGAAGTGTTTCTAGAGCTTTTTGGTTTTTGAGTTTTGAGTATGGCATCATGGGCCTTTAAAAGATGATTCTAAGTTCTTTTTATCCCTCTTGTTATCTTTTCAAATACTTTAATTTGATCATTTTTGTTTTGTTTTCACTTTTTAAAGGGGTTATAGAAACTTCAGAAGTACTGGATGTTCTGAAATCACTGGGTATAGATGCTTCTGAAGACCAGGCAAAAAAGATTCTACAAAGGTCAGGTGTATTTTTTTGGTGATAGTTTTTATTTTATGAGTTTGCGAACAAATTTGATTGTTGTATTTGGTTAATTATGGCTCATATTGAATGTATCCTTTTGAAAGCAACTTGCAAAATCATTGCTTAGGTTCATGTTTAATCAGCTGAAATAAAATAAAATCCCACATATATCCAGTGTGTAGTGCAGTGAATTACTTCATATGGCTCTTCTACTCATAGTCTTTGTAACAGCCACCAAATGACTGGGGGTGAGGGGAACATGCAAATAAGGTATATGGAAATCTAATGAGGGGAACATGCAAATAAGGTATATGGAAATCGAATGAGGGGAACATGCAAATAAG